CTCTGTGATACTTGCATGCAAGACCCCAGGGGGTTCCCAAGACAGTTGGATATCAGACCATTAGGGGGTTCCCATGGCATTCCAAGCTAATACCATATGGAGGTTCGCATGGCAATGGGCTAAGACCATGTGAGGGTTCCCATGGCATCCGGAGTAAGACCTTGGAGGGTTTCCACGTAATCCCTATATGTTTATATGCATGGCTTATGCGATTGATATGGTTTATGTGATTATGTGGATTGTGTGGGGTATGTTATGGGAATGCCCTAAGCTTCGTGCTTACAGTTTTGTTTATGGTTTCAGGTATCATTGGTTTGGAAAGGAAGGGCCCGGCTTGATCGCAGCGCACACACCCGTTTTTTCCGCAATATGTGATTTTGGGATGAACTCTGTTAAATGTTTTTAATTATCAACGTTTTGGAATGTTTGGATTAAATGATATCTGTGTTTTGACTATAATAAAAATGAAAATTTTACCCTTGATTTTTGGGTTGTTACAACGGAGAACCCCTATGCCACAACCACAAACCAAGCCCAATGATAAACTTCGCAAGAACAGAAACCTAACGGTCCGAAATCCTAGATATCATACTTTTAGGACTGATGTTCACATTATGATATATATGTCCCCCAGTCCCTTTGACCACTAACACTGCTATCTATGAAGGAATGAAATCCCAAAACATACCGACGATAACCACTCAATAATTCCCTAACCTGGAAACTGTTTTGATAAAAAATTAATCAAATTATTAATCAACTAAATTGTATGAGAGGCTGTGATGTTGTAATCAAATCAGATGAGCAAATCAAGAGTAGGTGACACAAGTGGTTTACAAGGAAAGCCCTTGATCCTTGCTAGGATCTCTGGCACAAAACCTTGGGAGGTGATAATGATCACCTCCCTTGTTAGTTTTTATTAATTGAAAAGATGAGTTACAGATGAATGATGAATATATGAGTAAAATAGTTGAAGTAAGTCTAGGTGTGTGTTGTGTGCAAAATACATGTGTATTTATAGTCTAGTCTAAGCAACAATAAGTTCGATATTCCCAGGATCCTCTCGAATAAAAATAAACACATTGGTTTGACTTGGTATTCCCAGGTCTTTTGCCTGATTGAAGTACTTCTTCGTTGAGAATGAGTCTTATGTTGATTAATTATGTGCATGTGAGAAAAAGACTAGAAATATATTTTTTATAAATGTTTGGAAATAATAATAAGAATTTTCAGGATCATGAGAGGTGTTCGTGCTCCTGAAAGATCTTGAAGATCCGGGATCCTGAATAGGGTTGAGGATCTTAACCCTAACAATTGCCCCTAATTATACATGCGAAATATTAAGGTTAATTTCAAATATTTAAAGGTATAATTTTAAAATAAAGAGAGAACTAAAGATTTGGAAGTTTTAAGGGATAGGGTAATTTGAATCCCAACGGATAAATTTCTAGCCGTTGTAGCAGGCATAGTAATCTGTCAAATCATCCTTTTACCTTTCCATGATTCGCGTATAAATAGGATGTTCAGTCTTTTGATTTTGCCTTGCTCTTTTAGCTCTCTTCCAGAAGTTCATTGAATACCATCGAAGGTACTATCCTCTTTTCTCTTCTCTTTATCTTTTTTCGTCTTTAATTATGGGAAAAAAAGCAACTCACTCTCGTACAAGCATCATCGTTGTTCCTGATGATGATTTCGTGGATCAAATGGCTTTTTCTTACGAGGAAACTTGTACTTTTGATGACAACGATATCGAAGCTTTGAAATCGGTTGGGGCGTTTCCCGTCAGCACTGTTTTTAGACCTTTTGATGCAAAGATCTAGTCAGACTTTGTTTCTTCCTCTTGGGTCCGTTTTCCTGAATACCCGTTCACCCTAGGTCTTTCTTATCCATTTCTTGGGATTATTTCTGAGTTCTTTGAGATTACCAAAATCTTGTATATTCAAGTCATGCCAGCGGTTTGGAGGATCTTTTACAGGATTGATCGACTGAACCGCTCCATGGATCTTAGTATCAGTTTGAATGAGCTAGCTTATGTCTATGATCTTTTGACCTTTGGGAACTCTTTTTTCGTGCTGAATGTCAAAACTGATAAACCACCCCTCATTCTGAAATCCAAGCATAATGATGATGCTTGGAAAGGAAAATACTTCTTCGTGAAACGCGACTCCATTCCTGATGGAAATATCTTGTAATAGTATTGGGTCAAAAATGTGTCGTTTTATATTTTTATACTAAGGATCCTGGTATTCACACTTCTTATTTTGTTTGATTTTTGCAGCTTTCAAGTTTGAAGAGCTTGTTCCTCCTACTGAAGACACTGAAGATAGGATTGATAATTTCCTCTCCTTGCCCGATATTGAGAGAACATTCAGGCTCGATCATCCTAGACATCAAGAAAGTTCAACTGTCATTATCCCCATGTCTACCGGTAAGTTCAACTGTCATTATCCCCATGTCTACCGGTAAGGATTCAAGAGTACTCATTTTGGTGCATGATTTACCCTCACCGACCTTGAATCTGCCATGTACAGTAACCAATTGGTGGTCAAGAAAGAAAATTCATCTCTCCTTCCTAAGAAATCTCCCATTGACTTGTATGTCAAACTCCAGGATCCCGAAAGAGGAAACCAACTGAAGTTTTCAACCTGAAGAATCATGAGGTGGACGAGGCATTGAAGAAGTTGGTCTCCTTCTCACAGTCTGTAAGTACCCTTGTAGTTTTTTATATATGCCTTTAGTTTTCTCATTTTTGTCTCTTACAGGTGGCTGATCATATATCTCATTCCTCCGAGTATCTCAAAGCCAAGCTCAACCAGGTAGAACAAGCTTTGAGGGAACAAGAAGCAGCCAACAAGGATCTTTTACAAAGGGTGGAGAAATTAGTCAAGGAGAAGGCAGAAAGAGAAGAGGAGCATACGATGGAGATAAAAGAGGTGATAGTTGAGGCCAGGAGTAGTGTCGGCGATGTGGTTTGGGAGGCAAAAATCAAGTTGGCAGAGGATATCTGGTAGGCATGTCGATCCTGGGACATAGTTGGGTGGTGTAAAGCTCTGTCCAAGATAACTAGTAGGCATGTAGATTCTTGTCAGGATCCTACAGGGGAAAGGAGAAAAGAAGAAGAATGAGAGAAGAAAAAGAAGGAAGAGGAATAGAAGAAGAATATAGAGAAGACCCCAGTTGGGGTGATCAAGCCTAGTGTTAGGTTTGATTAGTTAAAAATAATTTAACATATTGTCTATAAAACAATATTTTTTGTGGGGTTGATGGGAAACCCCTTTTTTAGTTTCATGCCATGGTTGCTTCATGCCTCTTTTTGTTTGCATGGTTGATATGCTTGATATGGTTGTATGTCTTCTGAGGATCCTCATGCAATCAGGATCCTAAAGAGTTCAGGTTTTACAAGAACTCTTAAGATTTGAATAACCTGAAATAGTTAGTTATCAATTTGGGATCTTAAAATAGTTAAGATCCTTAGGAGAATAAACCTTTAATTATTACGTAGGAAAAAATAACTTTAAAGATATATAGAACCTGTTGATCTTTAGGTTTTATAATCTTTTGATTTAAGAGGATCCTCGAGTAATTTTCATACAATCTTGAGGTTCACATAAGCAAAGATCCACTTTAGGAATTCAATTCTGAGGATATCTGTTGAGCTCTTAGCAAACAATTGGGGAGGATCCCACCCTAAGAAACAATTGGGAATGATCCCAACTTAAAAAATAACTGGGGAGGATCCCACATTATACTATGATCATGTTATAAACCTTATAAATTTCCTAGGGAAGATCCCAATTTAAGATAACATGTCAATGTTATAATCCTTATAAATTTCCCGGGGAAGATCCCAACTTAAGATAACATGCCAATGTTATAAACCTTAGTAATTTAGTGCAGAAGATCCCAACTTAAGATAACATGTCAATGTTATAAACCTTAGTAATTTATTGGGGAAGATGCCAACTTAAGATAACATGTCAATGTTATAAACCTTTGATTAAATATTAGGATCTTTACATATGTTCAAAAATAAGAGGGTTGCCAAGTCACTAAGTAAAAAAATGATCCTCTTATTCAGTTCCTATAGAAAGACATCGTGCGTCCAAGCGAGGTGTAAAAACCTAAACTCGTGTGAAAGAGGTAATTAGCTCTTTAAACCTTAGAGGGGATTAAGTATCCTTAATTGTAGGAGAGATTATTAGTCTTTATTCTTAGTCGTTTGGATCCTTGATCTTCTGCATGTTGCAAACGTTAGCTTACGATGGGCGTTAGCTTGGGATGGGCGTTAGCTTGGCTAACGCTCCTTCGATGCTTAAGTCAGTAATGTTCTACAAAAATAAATAAAAGAACTTAAAAAAAGCAAAAGGTAAGGAGTGTGTACATTGGATCTTGTTGGAAAGCAAAATATTTTGACTTACATGAAATATGATTTCAAGTGTATGGCATTCCAGGATCTTGGTATGATGTCCCCTTCGAGGGTAGATAGCCAATATGCTCCTTTTTCATGCTTTTGAATCGATAGGATAAGGCCCTTCCCATTTGGGTGCCAACTTGCCTGCTGTAGGGGTTGAAATGAATATAGTAAGGAGTCGAAATATATTGAGTCTGTAAGGGTTCGAAATTCAGTTGGTTTCGACTCTATATGTATTTACAAGGCACATTTTGAATTCGAATCTAGAATGCATAGACCTTGTATTTTTTGTTGTGTCTGTAACACCCTATAAATATGGTAAGTATTAGAGTCGAGAGTAACTTTGGTGCTCTTCAAGTTTGTAAACACTCTCAAATTCTTGTACTCTTTACAGACTAATATGAGCCAATCAGATCTTATTTACACGATGTGTTATTCATGTTTTCTTTGATTGATTACGTATTCGTTACTTGATTCTAACTCTCTTCAATTGGTATCAGAGCAATTCAAAATCCTCAACAACAAAATCAATTCTCTTCTTTAATTACAAGCAGATACTAGGGGAAGTAATTTCATTACTAGGTTAGAGATGGAGTATTTATTGAGATCTCAAGAGAATCATTTTCGAAGTTTGGTTGAAAGCCTTGAACAGAAAAAAGTCGAAAGTTTGGTTGTTCATTCCAAACGCTTTGATTACGAAATTCAGAAGCTTCGTGATGTTGCAAAGGAGCATCATGATATCTTTGTTGAACAAGTGATGAAGATGAAAGAGTTTGTGGATCTTAAGGTGGCTGAACTCAATTCGGAGATGGCCAAAGAGGTTGAAAAGATGGAAAAGAATTACACTTTTTTGCATATAATATTTGATGTTGTTGCAACTGTTATCACAAAGATGGTTGATTTTAATACTGACTATTTGAACAAGCTTTAAGCCAAGTTTGAGAAGGATTCTCAAGTGTTCGTAAGTTGGAAGAATTTTTATCCAATATCAAGGAATCAATTTCGAAAGCTGACCTTTTGAATTAATCATTAGTTTCTCAGGAGTCAATTACTCTATTGATTTCGACCATTGAGACTAATATCAAAGAAGAGCTTTCTCCCATCCTTGAGTTGTTTCTTCGATTACCAACGAATGTTCCATGTGCTGTGCAAGTGTCACAAGGGGGTAATAAAGGATGTTGAGGTGTTGGTTCTTCAAAAGATTATGAGAAAGGAATTGTTGTTGGAAAAGTGATTTCGACTCATATACCGACTTCACTTCCCATTTCATTGAACACAACTTCTACAACAACAACAAGAACAATGACAAAAGGGATCACTATAAACGAAGGAGATGGAGGTTCAAGTTCGAGTTTTGTGCCACCAACTTCGAAAGATGATCAAAGTAACAAAGGGAAACTTATCTCAGGGGTTCCTTCAGAATAAGAGAAGAAGAAGTAGCAATCTTTGGAAATCAAAAAGCAAAGGAAAATTAACAGTATAATGAGGCGAAGACAAAATGACCCACCTGGATTGAATAAGGGTGATCCCAACAAGCAGTGGTGTTACGAGAAAATTGAGGAGATTGTTTCGATTGGGCTGAATGACTATTTTTCGCAAGGTGACTAAGAAGAGCTATGATATTGAGAATATTGATTTCAATCAGCTTGACTTACCAATAAACTACATGTTGTTCACATCTTCCCAGTTCAAGATTATTAAAAACTTCAAGGATAAAGAAGATTTCAAAAGACTGAAGATACATTTTCATGCAGTCTTGGGGAAAACGAAGAAAAAGTATGGTCATCAGTGAGGATTGTGAAAGTGATGACTATTATGCGAGAAAACTTGTTTGAAGGTCTTCTGCAAAATTTTCGATATGTGGTCATAAGAGCAAACAATTTTTGTTTGTGAATTCTCGATTGCAGATTTCCCCCTGATGAACTTAAATGAATTGGTTACTGTGACAAGGATTTAAGTAATGTGGATGTTTCGAAGCTTACTGAAACCAACAAAGATGATTTCATCATTGGTTTTGCTCATATCAAGGTTTTCATCGACAACTATTATGATTGCCTAGCAATTACAGATATTGAGCTTGCTTTAGCTATCAATAAGCCTTCGAAAGTTCCTTAATCTCTGCTGAAGGGGAAGATCAATATTGACAAGTATGAATATGGGGAGATTATACATTAACCTCTTGGGGTTATATTTCGTGGGAAGAAAACGAATGGGAGATTAACAAAATTATTGTTTCAAGTTTGTGATTTAGAGAGGTATACAAATGCTCAATATACCAATCTCCTTATTCGCACCAACAAATGCAAGAGTAATGAAGTTGAAGACAACGCAGAGATTCTAAAGACGATTTTGTGGTATACGGAGGTTTGCAATGTACTTCTACAAACTTTGAAGCTTATGGCATAATTTCAAATACTCTCACTATGGGGGGGAGTATGTAGGGGTCGAAATGAAGATAGCAAGGAGTCAAAATATATTGAGTCTGTAAGGGGTCGAAATCCAAGTGGTTTCGACTCTATATGTATTTACAAAGCACAGTTCAAATTCGAATCTTGAATGTATAGACCTTGTATTTTTTGTTGTGTCTGTAACACCCTATAAATACGTTAAGTATTAGAGTCGAGAGTAACTTTGGTGCTCTTCAAGTTTGTAAACACTCTCAATTTCTTGTACTCTTTACGCACTAATACGAGCCACGCAGATCTTATTTACACGATGTGTTCTTCCTGTTTTCTTTGATTGATTACGTATTCGTTACTCAATTCTAACTCACTTCACCCGCACTAGGATCCTTGGTATTTTAAAATGCCTTCCTAAGTTCCAAGTCACCTTCCTGTAACCTTCTGACTTTTATGTTTTTGTTATATGTTGTGGCAATTCTTTGTTGATGAGCTGCAATGCAGATCCATGCAAGATCCTTGAGTTCATCAATAGTGTCGAGATCCTGGGCTAGGATCTCATTGTTTTTTCCTAATATTGGAGTTGGTATCTTGCTGTAGGGATCACCACCTCATTTAGGATCACAACTTTTGTCCCAAACTCCAAAGAATATGGAGTTTGACCTATGGTTGTCTTTGATGTGGTCCTATTTGCCCATAGGACGAAAGGAAGTTCTTCGGCCCATCTTCCTTTCTTTTCATCTAGCATTTTCTTCATATTATTGACTATGAATTTTGTTTCTAGAGTATGCTTGACCATTGGCTTGGGGATGAATAAGATTTTAAGTTATCATTTTAATTCCTTAACTAGTGCAAAACTCTCTAGTCCTTTTGCTTATGAATTGGGACCCATTATTACATATGGTTTCAACTGGGATCCCGAACCTAATCAAGATATTACGTTTAATAAATGAGACAACCTCTTTATCTCTTACCTGAACAAAAGCTTCAGCCTATATCCACTTAGAAAAATAGTTTGTCATTACTAGCATGAATACCTTTCCACCAGGATCCTTTGGTAGTTTTCTAACTATATCCATTCTCCATTTCATGAATGGTCAGGAGGAGATGATAGGATATATAGGTTCTGCCTTTTGATGAATGATGTTACTATGCCTTTGACATGCATCACACTTTTGTGCATGAAAGAAGGCATCTTTTTTCATTGTTGGCCAATAGTATCCTGTCGTTTGTATCTTGGAGCATAACAATCTACCCCCAATATGGTTGCCACAATCTCCTCCATGTATATCTTTCAGAACTTCTGTAGCTTTGTGATCTTCCAAACATCTTAGGTATGGGTTTGCCATGGATATTTTGTATAACTTCCCTTGGATTATCACAAAGCGTGAGACTCTCATCTTGAATGCTTTGTCGCTTTTTTCTTCTTTTGGGATTGTACCATATTGAAGGTATACCATGATGCGTTTGATCCAGGATCTTGTAGGATCCTGATTATTTTATCTACTAGGATCCTGATGAATGCATTAAGGGCCAGGATCCTAGATTTCAACAATGTTGGATGTCTGATCATGGTTACTAGGATCTTAAATTCCTGGGATCATTATATGGATTATTGGAATTTTCGTTTCTAGTGGGATTCTGAGGGAAGATCCTAGGTTGGCCAATGCCTCTGCTTCAATATTGTCTTCCCTGGGAACTTGGTTTAGGGTAATGGCTTCGAATTCAGAGACTATTTTTTACAAATTTGAAGATACGATGCTAGTATTTCGCCTTTAACTATAGGGTTTAGGTCATTTTTTGTCACTTAACCTTTCACTTTGTGCTCATTTGGTCACTTAACTCATTTTAAGTTTTAAAAGGTCACCGAACTTTTGCCTTTGTGCTCATTTAGTCACCTAACTTTTGGGTTGGTCACTTAACTTTCGGATTTGTGCTCATTTAGTCACCTAACTTTTAAAATTGTTCTCATTTAGTCACATAACTTTTAAAATCGTGCTCAGTTTTATAGCTTCATTTTAAAAGTTTAGTGACAAAATGAGCACAATTTTAAAAGTTAGGTGACTAAATGAGCACAAATACAAAAGTTAAGTGACCAAACCAAAAGTTAGGTGACTAAATGAGCACAAAGCCAAAAGTTCGATGACCTTTTAAAACTTAAAAAGAGTTAAGTGACCAAATGAGCACAAAACCAAAAGTTAAGTGACCAAAAATGACCTAAACCCTTAACTGTATAAGATCCATTAAAATGGTTAGTAATTAATAATGAATCTATGAATACCTGAAGATCCTTGATTTGAATATCCTTGGCTAGTTGTAGTCTCATGATTAGTGCTTCATATTCTGCTTCGTTGTTGGTTACATCGAATTCACAGCTGATAGCTTGGGGTAGTATGTCCCCCTGTGTCAATTTTAGTATGATCCCAAGGCCGGTTCCTTTTTGGTTGGATGTCCCGTCTGTGAAGATCATCCATCCACCCATGTTTTCTTCCTCTAGGAGTTCTCTTGTTTCCATCTGCACTTCAGCTTGTAGATCATCACTAAAGTCATCCACAAAATATGCTAAAGCTTGTGACTTTATCGCCAATCTTTTGGTTCATACTTTATATCGAATGTGCTGAGATTTACCAACCATTTGGCCATTCTTCTTGACATCTTTGGATTTCTCATAATATTCTCAAGAGGATAATTAGTTCTTGCATGTATTGGATGTGTTTCGAAATAATTTCTTAATTTTGTGGATGTTGTTACTAGTGCAAGTATTAGTTTTTTGAGGTGAGAATACCTGGTCTCAGGATCCAAGAGACTTTTACTTACATAGTAGATGGGATGTTGGTCCCCGTCAAGATCCTTGGCCGGGACTGCACTTATAGCATTGGAGGATACTGAAAGATAGAGTAGGAGTGGTTCTCCATCTAATGGTTTTACTAAAAGGGGGTGCAGAACTTAAATACTTTTTAAGTTCCTGGAAGGCATCTTCGTGCTCCTTGGTCCACTCGAACCTTTTTTTTTTCTTCAAGATTTCGTTGAAAGGTTTACACCTCTCTGAGGATCCTGGGATGAACCTATTTAGGGCTGCTACTCTTCCTGTTAGTCTTTGAATGTCCTTTGTCGATGATGGGGATTTTAGATCAATGATGGCCCTGATCTGTTCAGGACTGGATTTTATCCCTCTCTTGGTGACCATGTATCCAAGAAACTTTCCTGCCTTCATCCCAAAGTGGAATTTGGAAGGGTTTAGCTTCATGTTGTATTCATCCAAAATGTCGATGGCTCCTTGAAGATCCTTGAGGTGATCTTTAACTTTCTTGGATTTGACCACCATATCATCGATATATACTTCCACGGTGTCCCCCAGTTTGTCCTTGAACATTCGATTCACTAGCCTTTGGTATGTTGCTTCTTCATCTTTAAGACCAAAAGGCATGGAAATATAGCAATATAGATCTGTAGGAGTTATGAAGGCAGTATCCTCTTAGTCGGATGGTTCCATCCAGATTTTTTGGAATCTTGTTGAAGCGTCCATGAACGT